AGGCCCGCCTACCTTGCAGGAGTGATTGGAAGCTCTGTCCCGCCGCGGGCCACTGGGCCTTTTCTGTCCGTGGTCACCGTTCCACCTACCTGGCAGGCGCGGGGGGTGGGGGGGCGGCTCTGCCCCTCAGCAGGCCGCTGGGCCTGCTCTGTGCGTGGTCACAGTTCCCTCTACTTTGCCGGCGCAGGGGGAGGGGGCGGCCCTGCCCCTCAGCAGTCCGCTGGGCCTGCTCTGTGCATGGTCACAGTTCCCTCTACCTTGCCGGTGCAGGGGGAGGGGGCGGCTCTGCCTATCAGCAGGCCGCTGCTCCTCTTCTGCCAGTGGGTCGCAGGCCCGCCTACCTTGCAGGAGTGATTGGAAGCTCTGTCCCGCCGCGGGCCACTGGGCCTTTTCTGTCCGTGGTCACAGTTCCCCTACCTGGCAGGCGCGGGGGGTGGGGGGCGGCTCTGCCACTCAGCAGGCCGCTGGGCCTGCTCTGTGCGTGGTCACAGTTCCCTCTACCTTGCCGGTGCAGGGGGAGGGCTTATAAAGCATTTTTAAAAACAGGTTTTATTACAGATTTGGAAATATTATTGCATAACATTTATCTTTCACTCTAACCCCTCCCAGAAAAGTTTTTGGGATTTCAAAGTTTATGTGTACTTTCTTTACTTTTTTTAAATTTATTTTATTTCATTTTATTTAAATACATGACATCAGAGTGCATTACAATTCTTATTACATATATAGAGCACAATTTTTCATATCTCTATTTGTATATAAAGTAGGTTGACAACTAATTTGTGTCTTCATACATGAAATTTGGATAATGATGTCTATCACATTTCACCATCCTTGCTAATCCCCTGCCTCCTCCCTTTCCCTCCCACCAGTCTTCCCTATCTAGAATTCATCTATTTCTCCCATGCTCCCCCTCCTTACCCCACTATGAGTCAGCCTCCTTATATCAGAGATTGGCTAACTTCACTTAGCATTATCTTCTCCAATGCCATCCATTTACCTGCAAATGCCATGTTTTATTGTCTTTTAATGCTGAGTAAAATTCCATTGTGTATATATGCCACATTTTTTTCATCCATTCATCTGTTTAAGGGCATGTAGTTTGGTTCCACAGCCTAGCTATTGTGAATTGTGCTGCTATAAACATGATGTGGCTGTGTCTCTGTAGTAGGTTGTTTTTAAGTCCTTTGGGTACTGACCACGGAGTGGGATAGTTGTTTTTAGTATTTAAAAGCTTTCCTTGCATAAATCATAAGTATATCCAAAATATATTGTCCATGATCTTGGCTTAGATTTATTGGGGATGAGTCATTATAATTATTTGAAATATTTTTTAAAAGATAAAATAATGTCAGAACTAAAACTATTAAAATAGATGCTGAAAAGTGACTGGCTCTTTATTTGAAGGGCAACTTTTTCTGTTTTATCTTTAATCTGTCATTGGAAAGCCTTTAGACCATCTTATTACATTTGTGATTACTAAATTAAAATGATAGATCTCACCAAACAATGAAAAGATGTCTAATCAGCTAGTCAGTATTATGTAGAAAATATGTATAGATAGTATTCTCCTTCTGCCAGACTTTCTTCCTGTGCAAAATGCTTATACCTTTTCCCAAGCTGTGGGCAGTGGACCTGAATTTCTGTCCCCATTCAATGAATGGGTGTTTAGGGGCAGGTGGAAGCATTGGAGGGAGGCTCCAGTTTTCTAAACCTGAAATATTTGTTAGAACTTCCACCCTATGAGTTAGGCTTGATTGGGGAGAACCCAGGCTTCTCTGTTGAACACCCAAAATAGAGCTTCTATAACTTGTGCATACAGAGGATCAGGCATACCACCAGCTTTTACCTTCTAGAATAAAACGATAACCTCACACTTGAAGCTGGAGGGGAAAGGAACTACTGTCCCATTGAATGCAGACAAGTGAAAGGATTCCATAATGCTGAGCTGTGTAGGTGTAATAGAGTGTTTCGTGGCTCAATTGACACAAATTAGTGCTGTTATCATCATGCCTTAATATTCTTGAATGAATGTTTCTCTGTTTGTTTTATGCCCTCAGAAATATTTCCAAAGATTTTTTAAAATATGTTTAGTTATACATGGACGCAGTATTTTTATTTTGTTTATTTACTTTTATGTGGTGGTGAGGGTTGAACTCAGTGCCTCACATGTGGGAGGCAAAGGCTCGACCACTAAGAATCATTGGTTTCCATAATTTCATCTGTCATATCATTTTGTGTTAGAGAGTGTTTGCCACAGACTGAATTTCTGTAAAAAAAAAAATTAAAATGTAGGAAACTTTGTTGTCCCAATTTTAAAGGTTAGGAAGTTCAAGATGAAAGTTCCCACAAAGTTACCATCTTGTGAAAACTCATTCTACATTCACAATGGAGCCTTCTCACTGTGTCCTTACATAGTGGAAAGATGAAGGAGTCCCTTTTTAGCCTCTGTTTTAAAGAGTACTAAACACATTCATGGGTTTCCATCCTCAAAACCTAATCTCCTCCCTTCTGAAGGCCCCACAGTCTAATACCATTAGCTTGGGGGGAAATATTTCAAATGAATTCTGCTGCACACAGTCATTCAAATCAAGCAGAGTCCCCCAACTTCTCTACTCCATCATCCCAGAAGTCTAGCCCTACTACTACAATTTTGGGATTTCCATATTTTAAGCTGAATGTAGAGGTTTATAAAATATAATATGCCCATTTATTGCTGTAGAATCTTTCAAATGCAATGGATTTTTTAAAATGTAGTTGTAGATGGACAGAATGCCTTTATTTTGTTTGTTAATTTTTATGTGGTGACTAAGGGTCAAATCCAGTGCCTCACACATGCTAGGCAAGCACTCTGCCACTGAGCTACAGCCCCACCCCAAATTGCAATGGATTTTTTAAAGCTTCAGAGGAGGTTTTGCAATGTATTAAATAAAGATACTCATATGAAGGCATTGTATATCCCAATTTCTGATTTCCTATTTATAATCTATGGCTGTTCAATTTGTTTCCAGTCTACTTTCATACATGAGCTCCCACTATACCTCTCCATGAACCTTTCATGACACTCAAAGTGATGCACCTACTCATGATGAGAACAGCATGAATTTGTGGCATTTTAGCCATGTCACACTCCATTACACCTTCCTAAACAGCTTCCTTGAGAATATTTTACTACCTCTATGTCTTTATTCATGGTACTCATGCACTGTGCCTTTATCAGTACACTGTAGTTTTACATAATAGTTGAGTTCATTTTGACAAAATCATACATGCATGGAATTTTATTTACTCAATTTCAGTCTCTAGTGTCCTCATTATTCTCTACTCCTTACCCTATTTTTCTTCCTCTACACTACTGGTCTTCCTTTCATTCTCCTATATATTTATTTCTGATAGATACATATACATAAAGGTATTCACTGTTGTATGTTTATACATATACATAGCATAATTTTATTAAAATCATTCTGCATTTCCTCCATGTCAGTAACTATAAGCCTAAATCATTCTAATACTTCTGAATTTAATTCAATTTCTTTATCCAACAAAAAACCATCCATGGATATCTTTTTTTTCTTATTAAGTTACCTCTTTGCTCTGACCTTTTAAAGATTTAATGCATAGGAATACTCATGATGTATAGGATGTACTGCCTTGTTATATTGCATCCTTACCTTTTTTTCTTCTATTTTTGAAATGTGTTTATGTCTTGTTCCCAATTACAGAATAAGCTATTGAAGGACATGTTTTTTTTTAATTGCTTAGGACCTCACTAACTTGCTGGGGCTGGCTTTGAACTTGTGATCCTCTGGCCTCAGCCTCCCAAGTTACTGGGAATACCGTATGTGCAACCATGCTTGATTTCTAATGTCTTCTTTATGAGTATTGTCATTAACTACAGTAACATAAATATATGATATATTTAGAAACTATTTTATTGAGTAAATCTCCTCCCTGATGAGTCCTGAAATAGGATTCTATTTATATTGACACTATAATTATTTTGCTCATTAATATGAGCAAATTGGATTATTGGATTACTTAGAACAAATAGTAGTTACCTATCTAGCATTACAGCAATGACAAAACATGCCTAAGAAGTAGAGTATGAGAGCTCTTAATCATATCCTTTATTCTTACTAGAATTCTTTTTATTTTCCATATCATATTTTAAGAATCATAATGTAATAAAAGTAGTGATAGATATGAATTGACCATGTTTGAACTTTTTAATTTACCTTAAATCTAAATCCATTTATTGCCATTAATTTGAATTGCAGATTGATGGAAGAGAATATCTAGAAAAATATTGAAAATTCAGGGACTAATTTTATAATAAACTTTTTGGTGTTTCATATTAAATTAACAACGATAAACATATTGTCAACAGTCATGATGAAGTGATATCTAAAGAGAAGCTATGACATATCCCTATCATAATTCAAAAAGTGACAAAGCCGGGATGAGAAACACTTTCTCTAGGGTGTAAATTTATTTCAGCAGGTAGATAAAATTCCAGTCAGTTCTTAAAAAAATATGATTCCTAAAGAAATTAATCATAAATTAAGTAAATACTATAAAATTTAAACATTTTGTGGCCTTATTGATTTAATTTTGCCATAGCAAAGCAAAAGTGGCCACCAAAGTCAACTATCTTATCTTGGAAAAAACATGGATGATTTTCAGTATGATTCTAATGCAATATGATCTTATTCATATGGCTACAAAATAGCCAGTTATTACTAGGAAGTACAGCTCTGTGGTAAAGTGCTTGCCTAGCATGTGCAGTGTTCTGGGTACACTGCCAAACATTGAAGGGAATAAAGCCAGTTGACTTCTAGGTCAAACGCATGAAAAGATAAAGTATTACCTTCTCTTGGAATTTCATATATCAACTATGATATATTTTATTGATAAATGTCCCTTGAAATTCCCATATAGTTATATTTGAACATGAGAATATTCCTCTAAAATGTGATATAATAACATCTCATACTCACTAAACCAGTATCTCCAGACTGAAGTTTGTGGATCATCTCCGAAAAACCAACAACGCCAGAAGAAGCCTTCATGATGGTATATAACAGACATTACCTCATAGTCCCTTATATCTTCATCATTCTATGAATTAAAACATTCAAAATTTCAAACTGTTATTCCACAAATGAAATGCCATTTTCAGGGAATTCTATAAAATACTGAGATAATATTTATCTACAGGGTAGAAAATACCTTTTTTATGTATACTGTCTGGCAGTTTGTTTGTATATGAGTGCTTCTTAAATTTTAAGGTGAACAACTAGGGATATTGTTTAAACATATACTCTGATTCATTAGTTCTGTATAGAACCTAAAAATATTCATTTCTTAGCAGTTGCTAAGTGATACCATTGTTGTTAATTTGTGGACAACAATTTGAGTGCAAAGGTTTTATATGTCTCAAACAAAAAAAGAAGGAGGAAAATGTTGATTTGTTAAAATTTGGTGGTGTGTAGATGGGTGATCATTATACTTTTCCTTCTATTATTGTGTATAGTTTAATGATTTTACATAAAAAAATAAATATCAAAAAGTTTAAAATAAAGAATAAATACATAGTATTTGACTTACATTAGGCTCAACATATGCCTTTGACTGACTGGCCGCCTAATTAACAGCAACTTAATTAGTTGATAGCTTAAGTTTTACACACTTCAGAATTTTATCATGATCCAAGGGAAACTTATTTGATTTTTTGCCACATGACTGGTTAGTATTCTAAAAATAATATCAGTTAAACAATTGCCCCATGGAGTATATATAAACGTTACATATTTCTTCCACAATTCCCCTAGAGTATAACTTACAGAACAATTTTACTGTAGCAATTTATTCATCAGCTCTAGAATTCTGGTGGAATAATTTTCGCCTTGTATATAAAGGATATGTAATCAGCAAACAGAGACAATTTGATTTCTTCTTTTACTTTTATGGTTTATATCCTTTTATTTCCCTTATTTATCTTATTGCTATGGCTAGTTTCAAGAACTATGTCAAATAACAGTGGTTAAAAATGGGCTTTTTTGACTTGTTCCTGATTTTAGAGGAAAATATTTTAGTTTTTTTCCATTCAATATGATGTTGGTCTTGGGTTTGTCATACGTAGCCTTTACATTGTTGAGGTCATATACTTCAATCTCTATTTTCTCCAGAATTTTTAACATGAATGAGGTGGTGGATTCAAGAATGGGAATGGGGAAAAATCTAAACAATATGATTTTTGGATCAATTGTGGATCAACTTTCTTCTATTTCTATCTCGTTGTCTCAATTTATTCTTGCTTAACAAGACTGAATTATATGTACAAAGGCAAAAACTGGTATGCTCAACTTCTTGGCCTCATATTTTTCTTTGTTTCCTCCACATAAGTGTGACACTAACTTCTCAAACTATGTAATTCCACATTGGAAAACATATATAAGTGCACTAAACTCCAATAATTTGATATTTGTGATTTATTATTTTATTTATGCTCTTTTTTATCTAGAAAGTGCTTTTTTAAATATTATTTTTAATAGTTTTAGTTGCAGATGGACACAATACCTTTATTTTATTTATTGTATTTTTGTGTGGTGCTGAGGATCGAACCCAGTGCCACTAAGCTACAACTCCAGTCCTTAAATTTTATTATTTTTTAAAAGAAATAATAAAAATAATTTTATTATGTAATATAAGATGAAATACACTGAATAGTTATTAACATGGTGTATTATTCTGCTATTTTGATTTTTATCATTCTTATAGCATTTATCATACTTACAAAACAGAATGTTTTGTTTTCATCCACCTTACCTCTCAAAAGAAATAATGATGACAACATAATTTAAAATTCCAGAAATAATACAATTAAAATAGCAAAAATGGGGGCTGGGTATGTGGCTCAAGTGGTAGTGTGCTCGCCTGGCGTGCGTGAGGCACTGGGTTCAATCCTCAAAACCACATTTAAAAAAGTAAAATAAAGATAGTGTGTCTACCTAAAAATAAAAAATAAAAATAAAAAACCAGCAAAAATGAATACAAATTTTAAAAGATCCAAACAAAATAAACTTTCTTCTAGAATGAATAAAGCATAAAGGTATGAGTACACATATACCTGCAAATAGTATGTACATCTACAATGTGTTCTACAGTTTAAATAAGTGGAGTATATTTATATCTTAACTATTATTCTTAATAGGGAAGCAATACATGGAGAGTATAGGGTAATAATCACCACCATCATCAATAAAGTTCTTTTTTAACCATCCTTTTTTAAAACATTTACTGACATATAGAATTTTAATCCCATGATGAAAACTAGACATTAGAAATTATTGAATCATGCCAGTAATTGCAGAGAATATGAAATTCAGAAATGCAAACTCATTTTCTCTCTTACTGACAAGCAAATATTCATTTGATGATCTAGAGTTGTTTGTACTCTAACAACTGAATTATTACAGGGATAACAGAGTATTAAATGATTGATTTGCTAATAATCATTTCCTACTTATAGCACAGTATGTTCAGATCACATTTTTTTCCTTACATGCATCTGGCAAATGAAGTAATGAAATGATCAGGAAATAGAAGATAGAACACTGGATTTAGAAATAGGGAATCCTACATTTTGGTTGCTACTCAGTCATTAATTCTATGAGCTTAAGTTATTCACATGCCACTTTTGAACATCAGTTTCTTGATCTGTAAAATCAATTCAGTAATACTAAGAACCAACTATGTTTTAGTCAATGTACTTGTCACTATATATGCATAATAGATTTTTATAAGCAATACAATCAACTTAATGTGCTAAAAAATAGCACTAGATGAGGAATGAGATAACTGGTACTTATAAAAGCTCAGACTAGATCATTTCTAAGATGACTTCCAGTTCTAACATTCTAGCATTCCATTTGTTGTGTGAAAATGCTGTTCAAACATGTCAAGTACTAATCCCTGGGGAGGACTGACGTTTTTATCTAACACTTGTAACCAATCATGGATGAAAATGAAATAGATGGCATCCTATGTATCCTATTGTATGCTATCAGAGATTACAGGAATGTGTATCACCTTAGACAATTTTTCTCTATCCAAGATTAATGAAGCATTAATCCATCAATAGTAATGCATTCCTATGATCTCTTTGCCTGGAAAATATCTCTAGGACTGGGAGCACTTTAACCCAACATCAATGGTTTACCAGTGTACTAGAGCTCTAAAACCCTGCAGAAGGGTTTTAATAAGATCAGTTTTAATGTGAACATCATGGACTAGTTAGGAACTGTAAATATGGAAGCCACTCTGAAAGGGAGAAAAACATTTTTAAAAACTAGAGAATGATAGCATGAGAAGAAACTTTAGTCAAATTTGGATGATCTGAGAAAAAATACTTCAGTATTTCCAGATCATCAGTCAGAACAATTCAAAGCATTTTAGTTTGACCTGCCACTTCTTCTGTAGTATTGACTTTTGTTAAGTGGTATAATAGTTATTATTTACAGGAGAATCACTGCATAAAGAAAATGTGTTTTACATGCAAAATTACAAGAACAATAATGATCATTTAATAGTACTGTTTTGTAACATGATTATATTTGAATGACCTGAAATTGAGAAAAGTTTGTAGTTCAAAAGTGAACTATTTTATAAAATACACGTTCTTACTGGAATAAAGTTGTAACAAAACAAAATCAAGAAACTTTCGTTAGTCCTGAAAGAAAATAATGTTGCAAATTTATTCAATAGTTGGATTTAAAATATTTGCTTTTGGTTTCTCCCTCAGTCTCTACTTTTCATCATTCTTTTTTAATATTTTTAATTGTCAATGGATTTTTTGGCTTTATTTATATGTGGTGCTGAGGATCAGACTTAGGGCCTCACACATGCCAGGCAAGCACACTACCACTGAGCTACAACTCCAGCCCTAATCATCCCTTTTAAAATATTAAAATGACTAAAAAAATCACAACAAAGTAAATATTTTGCAAACTAATAAATCAAATTAACAAGTTTTAGTGTGAGAATAGCATTGTCGGTCTATAAACTTGTAATAATACCCATTCATAAACCTGCAACAATATCAATTTAGTCTGTTTGCATTATTTTGTTTTATATACCATTGTTTCCTATTAGCATCTTCCCATGTTCCATATCTCCAATCAATAAATTAAATCTGAAAAGCAATTACTAAAATTTATAGGAAAATTTACTAAAATTAAAACCCTAATTTTCGTTCTACTACCACATCAATTTTTATAAAACATTTCCTTCGTAGACATTTGTTTCTTTTGTTTGAAATCCCTGCTTTCTAAAGTACACATTAGATTTCTGTTTACCTCTTCTTCATTGTCCAAAGTTCCATTGTTAGAATCAAAACTTTCACAGGTCTCTGTTGCAAGTAGCCAATATTCTGTTCCAAATGCTACCAGAAACAGAATTATGCCAATAGCACCAATAATTCCTGCAATGAGAGCAGCAATTCCAATCTTCATGATAGAACTGTTAGTCTTGTGAAAATTGCATGTAAAAGAAGTATTGAAATGACCAGTTGCTAGAGCACAGCTTGTGGGTCTCAACAGAAGACACTATTTTAAGACTAGGATTGACATCTTTTTGTGACTGGTCTAGGTTTCACTAGGTTATATGAGAAGAGCTGTTAAAAGCAGATGACCTGGTTCAATTAAGCCATTGGGCTATCTACCACAAACATGTTCCAAAATTATTTCCTACAGAAAAAAAAGCACCCTGTTCCACAACCTCCATATACCTCTCCCTCTCTCTCTCTTTCTCTCCCTGTCTCTCCTTCTCCCTCCATTTCCCCTGCCTCATATCTCACATCAATTTCAGGCAAAATTTCTCTAAAAACAGAAGGAGGAAAACTACAATAGCAGCTCTGGTTTCCATGAAAGTGGAGTTAATGATATCTATAATGTAAGTAAGTACCCACACTAAAGATCACAGATTATTCTGATTATTACTTAGTATTTTTCAATAGCTATAACTTAGTAGTAAGTGTGTGCAAAATTTTCCACAAAACCTAACACTAAACCCAGTATTTGAAAACTGGTTTTAAAGACTCAGCAGAGAGGGTGTCATCACACCTTTATTTATAGGACATAAAACTAATTTTTCACAATTAAAAAAAGGAGATTGGATAGTACTACTTCTGTCATAGGTGTAATGCTTTAACTGTAGTTTGGTACAAGAATTAGGATGTACTGACATCAAGGAAGGTAAATATACCAAAAATTATCATTAATTTAATCAAATTTTAACTATACTTACAAAAAAGAACTTCATTGAAAGCCACTAAGATTAGAGGTGACTTGATTAAATGAAAGTGGAAAAGTGAGTGGCAGTATATTATTTAGTTCAAATAATAATGTTTATAGTTAGCTTGGGTTTGAGTACAACATTCCACTTGCTAGCTTATGGCCTTGGACAAGTGTCTAAACTTCAGTTTATAAACTATTAAAATGAAAATAATTGTAATATCTAATTTATTAATTTTTAAGATATAACACCCAGAAAGCATTTAATACCTGACACATCATAAGCAAAAAATAAATCATTTTGAGCATCTTCTTTGGAAATTGTTCCATGTAAGATCTTTAGATATAAGAAGAAGCATAGGATATGTTTGCCCTTATGGAATATACTACTGATTAGGAAAATAACTTGTATGCATATGAGTTAAATAAAAATAATATAGGATATATATTTCAGTGCTAATCTTATTAGTTGAAAGAAAATATAGATTATTGCATACTTTCTACTAAGTATTGTGTGATGTTTTTTGGAGAGTAAACTTATGTAAGATCCATTCATTCTTGATATTTGAAGTGACTATTTCAGAAAGAGAGATAAAGAAAGAGAATGAAATTGATACATGATTCAAAGAACGTTGCAATGGCTCAAAGAATAAGAATGATGAAGGATTTGGACAGGTGGCCTTAATAGGGGTGACTAGTTGAGGGATTTTGAGTGGCTATCCAAGAAGATAGCCTATGTACAACTGCTCTTGCAGACTTTCTACCCAGCTTGGAATGTAAACCCTCCCTCAAACCTTCAGCTTTGTTGGCTGAATGCATTATTCTTTAAGTGAGTGACACACAACTGGAAAAGCCACACAAATAAAAGAATACAAATATCCTTCACTTGGCAAAATTCCTGCTGGTATCACGCCAAGAGTACAAATTGGGTTGAAACTTTGTTGCTTATTTTTCAAGGAAGTAATTATTGTCAATGTTAAATAAAAGACTCCTATAAAATATTCCTCAAATGAAGATTAATATCATCTTTGTTTCTGAGAGTATTTTCAAGCTTAAAGTTTAAGTAGCCTTTAATAAGGCTAATGTACATAAGCTTTAAAAATGTTCACAAATCAACTGAGGATTAGAATCTTGTGCAGGTGATTATATGTCGCCACATGAAAGTTACTCATCAGCTTTTATAAAAAGAAGTTGCATCCATGACAAAGAGCTGGTAAGTAAATTAAGAAACCAAGGAGTAATTGGTAGTATGTGAAGAATTATATAGTGAGGTTGTGAAGAATTATATAGTGAGATATTATTTCTCTCAACTTCTAAAAGCTGAGGACTGTGCTCATTATTAAATTAACACAGTAACAGTTATTTTGACCACTAAATTTTTAGAAACATAAGTGCACATCTAAACCACTGATTCCACTTTCTGGTGCTTGTTTAAATATAGCAAAAGGAATAATTTGTTTTTATCAAAATTCATTTTATAACCAATTGTCTCCCTTAATTGTCATATATCTTTGAAATTGGTAATATGACATGAAGATTTCCTCATGTAGAGGACACTATCAATCTTTAAACAAACATAAGACAGAATTCTGTCTAAAGAGACACCCCTGAATTGCAAATGAATGATTTCTTAAGATTAAGTGCAATCCTGTAACTTATTAACTACATGTAAAACGTATGGTTATTAATCAATGGTTTGAAAAAATCATTTTTACTACTGCAGTTCAATTAATGTCTCTGATGTGCTTTAGAAAAATAATTATTTTTAACTTTGTTATCATTTTTACATCTTTAGAAGATATAAATATCAAATAATATATTATCACTTTATTGATATTTTCTAAGTGGAAAATATTAGAATTGAACAAAATGTAAAGCTGAATTCATGTAAATTTTATGAGGTATCCAAAATTAGAGTGATCTTTTTTCTTTATTATAAAATTAAAATCAGTTTAAAACTGTTTTGCATGCATATTTTTTGTTCAATTTAGAAAACTATCAAAAACAGCTTCTTATATTAAAGTTATATCCCAATGTTTAATTCATTGTTGGTAAAAATGAATGCTATTTAAATTGATTTGCCATAAATTATAGTCTTATAAGCTCTAAAGTATTCAATTTAAAACAACATGCTCCTAAATTTACGAGGGAGAAAAGAATAGGTATTCTGTTCATTTTAGACACAGAATATGCATAATTTCAGTCAATATTTGGAATGACTTTATTTATTTTTACATTATGTCATACATATTTTTAAAATGCTGAAAATCACTCTTGCAATTTTATTATCTTCTGAGCAACGTAATGGTATGAATGCAGAAAAAAATACTAGACAGGCAACTTCAAAATTCTAATTGATTTATTTTTTATTGATATGCAGAAACATGCTCCAGTTTGTAAAATTAGAAATTTGTAGTGTCAAACTTTTCAATTCATTCTCTTATGATTCTTAAACCTGCCCTCTTTTAAAATATCAATTATAGAGATTCCATGTTTTCTTGGATATTACCAAATTGTTTATTATATGGAATATAAACACTCAAATATCATTTATTCTTAAAAATCCTCTCTGTTTTGCTTTATGTGAGGTTGAAGTATATTTTAATAATATGTATCCTGTGAAACTGTTGATTTTCCCATTTCCCTGTTAAAAATACATAGCTAAACTAATTCCATTTCCTACTATCATGATAAAAGATTGTTATGCCATTTCTTAAAGAAGAGAGAAAGAAAGAAATGAGACTAAAAGAATAAAATATTTGTATTAATAATGAGTTATTCTCTTCTAAAGCAACTATCAGCACTCATGAAGAATTTTCCATGAAGTATTGTTCCTAGGTCAAATTTCTGGCCAGATAGACATGTCTCATATGATATAATAAAAATAAATAAAGTGGTAATTAAAGTTCATCTTCTAGTCCATAATCAAGTGGACAAAGTTATTTTGACTAGAGAATCAAACTCAATACTGTATAACTATAATTAGGTTAAGCACCATTATGGAAAATGATATGTGCTAGCTTACATAGAACATGGCATCATTTAGGATGAATATACATTTTATTATTATAAGATAATATGGTTTAAATGTATTAAATTATTTAAAAGCAAAACAAGAATCAGAACAAGTTCAGTAAATTAATCCCTGTATAGTCTCTAATGTGAACTATTAGTAGGAAAACAAACAAACAAAAAAAAAAAACAATGAAACCAATGCTAAGTGTTCTTTCATTCTAGTGGAAAAGCCTATTGTTGAGATGTACTAACACAATGACATCAAGATGAAACTGACAGAATTCCATGCTTACACACCATTACTGCGTTTTCTATATTTACAGAGCACATTAAAAAATAATGTTTTTGTAACAATATTCATGGTAATGCACTTTTCACTGGCAAAGAATGATATTAATATTGACACATGACAAATAAAACATAGAAACATACTTTTTTTACAGAAAGGGCACTCTGCTCTTTTAAAATGTAATAATACTTTCCAAATTAATGTGATTTGTTTTTCATGAGTATATCAATTTCTTGGCCTTCGCAAGTATAAACTAGGAAATATCCCCCAATCATCATTTTATTTTTGTTTTTTTCTGTACATTGGGGTATCATAATAGACTTTGAAAATGTCGAAAATAAAGCATTTCCTTTTCCATTTAGTTTTTCATAAAAGTTAGCATAATTATTTTCTTGAATATTACCAAAGTGAGGAAATTCAGTCTCACATATAAACTACTACGAAAGGAAAAACTATAAAGTCCTGATGTTGAGTACCAGGGTCTTCTTTTAAATTTCAGAGACTATCTGTTATGGTTTAGATCTGAAGTGTTCCCCAAAAGCTCACATGTGGGAGAATATAACAAAGTCTGGAGGTGAAATGATTGGATGATGAGACCCTTAACCCAATCAGTGCATTAATCCCCTGATAAGGACTAACTAGGTGATAACTGTAGGCAGGTAGTATGTGGCTTGAAGAGATGGTTCAATGTGGGCATGCCTTTGGAGTATATATTTTGTCCCTGGTGAGTGGAGTCTTTATCTGCTGCCTGGTGCCATGTCCTGAGCTGCTTTCATCTGCCAATCTCTTCAGTGTAATGGTGTTCTGCCTCAGCTCAGGCCCAAATCTGCAGTCGTGTGCATCAAATAAATTTTTTCTCTTCTAAAATTCTTCTTGTCAAGTTTTTTGGCAATAGCAGCAACAACAACAAAAAAAA